TAACTTTAGTGAACAGAGGAAAATATTCCCTTTCTTCATTCACATAGGTATTTTTCCACCTTTCAGGAAATAGCTGCACAGTAGAAATAAGCCTGTGTCTTAGCTTGAGTATAAGAGAAAGGTTTTTAAATTGCACATTGTGTCTGTTTCAGGAGCATCCCTGAAGATGTCAACACTGAGGATTTGGCTAACACAAGCTTTGCTTATTTTTCTCACCACTGAATCTATAGGTAAGGTTCATGAAATGTCTCAACTCGACAAATTCGGCTTATGTGTTTTATATACTGTATAATTAGGCTCATGTTTAATAGTTTTATAATTATGCTTATATATTCTTTCTTGGTTATTATTGAGAGAAATTTCTTAGTACAAATAAGCCTGATAATTTGTTTTATATCATTTATTTGAGTTTTATAAATACTAAATGCTAATTAGCTAGTTTGAGACAGATTGAACGACAAAAACTGTATGGTCACCTTAAGATGCATTCTGATAAATATCATGTAAAACCGTTCATAACCTAAAATAATAAATTAAGTATAGGAAGAACATTTCAGCATAATAAAAGTTTTACACACACACACACACACACACACACACACACACACGCACACACACACACACACCCCACATACACATCTGAAGTCCACAGCTAATGTGCTGAATGGAGAGAAGCTGAAAGCTTTTTCTCCAAGATCCTGATACAGATAGAGGTTATTTTTGCTAACTTTATTTCTAACTACCTCTATTAAATATGATATTTGAAGACTTAGCCAGAGCAAATAGCAGGCAAAGAGATATAAAAGGCATCCTGGTTGGAAAAGAGGATATCAGATTGTCTCATGTAGATGACATGGTCTTATATACAAGAAACCCCAAAGAGTCTACAAAAAAAAAAAAAAAAACGGAACTAAATCAATGAATTCAGAAAAGTTGCTGATTAAAAAATTAACATGCATAGGTCAGCAGCATTTCCATATGCTAATAGTAAAGTATCTGAAGAGGCACTCTTATTTACAGTGACTTCAAAAATAAATACACGTAAATTTAGTCAGAGCTAAAATATGTTATAAAACCTAATGAAAGAAGTTTTGGAAAGGACACAAAAACATGGAAAGACAGTCCATGTACATGAACTAAAAGATTTAAAGTTGTTAAAATTTCTGTACTTTTCAAAGCAGTCTATAGAATTAGAAAAAAATAATTCCTAAAATGTGTGTGGAACCACAAAACACTCAAATAGTCTTGAGCTATAGGCAGACTTTTCTGTTCCGCCAGCCCACTCCCAAGTGACCACATAGAGACTTAATATTGATTATGAATGCTCAGCCAATAGCTTAAGCTTGTTTTTAGCTAGCTCTTATAACTTAAATTAACCCACACTCATTAATCTATGTGCTGCCCCAAGGCTCATTTACCTCATCTACATACTTCCCATCCTGCTCGATCTGCATCTCATGGCATCTCCGTGTGACTCTGCCCTTCCTCTTCCCATCATTCTCTCTGCCCTGAAAATCCTGCTAGCTAATGCCCGTTTAGCTTTTTATTAAACCAATCCAAGTGACAAATCTTCACAGTATACAAAAAGATTATTCCACACCTTGAACAAAATAACAAAAATGGAGACATTATACCAACTGACTTCAAAATATTTTACAAAGCTACAATAATTAAAACAGCATGGTGTGGCCATGAAAACAGAGCAGCAGAAAAGACTAGAGAGCCTTTTCTAGTAAATTCATTATGTATAGCTACCAATCTTTGACAAGGGCGCTAAGATATTAAAGTATAGTCACTCCAGATCAAGATGTGGGTTAATTGGATGTCCAGTTTTTCTCTTTTTGTCAACAGTCTGAGAAATAACTCAGAACAGATTAGAGGCTTATTTATTTACTAATTCTTGAGACACAGTCTCATTGGCCACCCTGGAACTCACTATGTAGACAAGGTTGGCACTGACCTCACAGAGATCTGCTGCCTCTGCCTCCCAAGTGCTGGGCTTAAAGGTGTGCACACCACAACCAACTGGACTGAAGACTTTAGTACAAGACCTGAAACTATGAAATCACTAGAAGAAAATACAGGGGGAATGCTTTAGGATACTGGAACAGGTGAGGAGTGTCTCACTAGGATCCCAAACCATAGGAATACAACAAGAGTAGAGGAATTAGAGTGTGTCACACTTTAGCTTCTGTGTGGCAAAGAAAACCAACCAAGTAAAAAGACATTTGCCAAACGGGAATATTCCTTATCATACACCTGATAAGGGATTAATACTGATTATGCAAGGAATGTAAACAACTCAGTAGAAAATTATAAATAATTTTTAAAGGGGTAGTAGACCTAGGTAGACATTTCTCAAGATAAGACATGCAAATGACTAATCATTCCATGAAAACATACTCAGCACTAATCATCAGGGAAGTGCCAACCAAAGTCATAGTGAGGAATGACCTGCTTCCTGTTAGCACAAAACCCAAGATACGTGCTGGCAGGACTGTAGAGAAAAGGAAACCAAACACAATATTGATGGGATGTTATATTAGTTCAGCTATTTTCAAAAGGAATACAGAGGCTCTTCAAGAAAAGGCAGTTCCACTACCAGATTGTTATAGTTGCTTTTCTCATTGCCAGGATCAAATACCTGATGTACAATTTCAGGAAGGTAGGACTTGAGTGGATAGTCCCATCGGGCTGGGGCAGGCCTGGTGACAGTAGTTTGGTACATTAGGGTTACATTGTGCATGCACTTAGAGGAAACAGAGATAAATGTTAGTGTGTAGCTTGTTTTATCCGTTTATTCACTCCAGGACCCCAGCCCATGCATTGGTGCCACCTACATTTAGAGTGTGTCTTCCTATCTCAGTTAACCCAATAAAAAAACCCCTCATGGATGTGCCTAGAAGTTTATCTCCTAGGCAAGTCTGAACCCTGTCAAATTGACAATTGATGCACACCACATATGATCCTGCATTCTCACTATTAGGTAAATAATAGAAAAGAAATTAAATCAGTATGTCAAATTAGAGCTGCATTCCTATTTTTATTACAGCAAGAACTACGTAAGTGGATAATGGAATGTGTGTGTTCATAATGGAATACTATTCCATCTTAAAAAAGAGCGAAATTCTGTCATTTGGGACAACATAAATAGAACTGAAACCACGTTAAGTGAAATAAGCCAGACACTGAAAGATAAATACCACATGATCTCACTTGTGAAATCTAAAAAAGTCGATCTCATAAAAAGTTAAGTAGAATGGTAGTTACTAGGGGAGGGAAAGGTTGTTCACTGGTACTAAGTTATATTTAAATACAAGAAATAAGCTTTGGGGTTCTCTTGTACGGCAAAGTAACTATAATAGTGGTAGCATCCTGTGCATTCTCAAACAATTCCAACTGCAAAGATCTGTGTCTCTAGCAGGATATTGAAAGCAGAGGAAATGAGAGGTGGACCTGTCACTGTCATCTCCAGTGGGGGCGAGACATTTCAGTTGTATAATGGCTTGTGGTTTTTGATCCTATCTAATTTCTTTTCCTCCTTCTTTAAATAGAAACGTTTATTCCCTGCATTGATGGATAAAATACATTTATTGCTAAAACTAGTCCAATTGTTTTCTCAGAAAACCCTATCCTCTACACTTTGTTAAAACACACATATTTGCCCATATTTTCTCGTCTTTCTTGTTTGGGTTGCTGTCTCACTGCGGTTTGAATTTTGATATATGGACAGTATGTCCATCCCTCTCTTCCTGTGGCCTCGCCTCCACCAGCATTCAGGGCTGGAGAAGACAGCCCACCTGTTTTCTGGAGTTTAGGCTGTCTGAGTCAAGGGGGTGCATGAGGGATGGGCAGCTTTGAGATGTACTGGAAGCAGTCTGTGTCTAAGGAAAATCAGAATATTGGACCATGGGCTCAGTAATTTTTACTTTTGTACAATATAATTTGTGTATTTCTTTACAAATTTAGGTTTTAAATTCAGACCACAATGTTTTCAGTCTTACATTTCCTTTTCCTTCAGAATTACTATAATGAATTTGTGGGGTCCACATTGAGTGCTGCTATCCAGATACCCTTTTGTACTAGAGATACCCAGTCTTTGTTCCTTTGCCTTGTTCCTGTCACAGTGCCAGGCATCGAACCCAAGGCATCACATGTGCTAGGCAAGCGCAGGTCACTTAGCACAGTCTGTTGTTCTTTTCAGGTCAAATTGTGGAACCATGTGGTTATATCTACCCCGAGTTTCCGGTTGTACAGCGTGGCTCTAACTTCACTGCCATTTGTGTGCTAAAGGAAAAGTGTCTTCAGCAGTATGACGTGAATGCTAGCTTCATCGTGTGGAAGACAAACCATGTTGCTGTTCCCAAGGAGCAGGTCACCGTCATCAACAGAACCACGTCTAGTGTCACCTTCACAGACATGATCCTCCCGACGGTCCAGCTCACCTGCAATGTCTTGTCATTTGGGCAGATCGAACAGAACGTGTACGGAACCACCGTACTTTCAGGCTGTAAGATCTGGGTCTTCTTTTCAGCTTCGCCAGACTCTTGAACTACATTTGTGATGGTTTCTGTTAGCCTTCCCGAGGACAGTCACTTGGTTCAGGAGTTTTTGGATATACTTACTTTATAAAAATGTTTAGAAATACTGTGCACATTTTCACCGTTATACACAAATCCAAGAGTAACATGGCTGCCGTTTCTTTGCTAAAAAACAAGCATTCGTCATGCTCTTGGAGAATGCCTTGACCAGAGACTCGTGCGTATCCCCGAGAGTGTTACTGATTTGCAGAGCTTCTGCTGATGGCAGCTTTCTGTGTCTCCTCATTACTGAGAAAGGTTCAATCAAGTTAAACAGGCCCCCGAATGGAGAAAATGGAGGAACCCTGAAACACAGAGGCCATGGGCTTGAAGAGAGCAGGGAGGGGTGTACGGGAGGAAAGGGGGAGGGAAAGGATGGAATTAAAATCTTAAAAATATTCTTTAAAAAGAGTGGAACCAGTGATCCAGACCCATGAGGGTTAGCCGGGAGTTACAGTTTCAGCGTTTACCTTACTTCCACCCCGGGTCAAAGCAGTAAGGACAAATGCAGCAGCCTCGTGTGCTGGTAAGGCCAGAAATGCCAGCTCCTGGCACATGTAACAAGAGGATTGAGCGTTTGAGGCCAGCCTGGGCTACATAGTAGGAGCTTGTCCTGAAATAGAAAAGTAAAATAAAGTATATGTGAATCATTTTTGCTCCTATAACTGCCTTTTAATATTTATTAGTTATTTTTAGTTTTAGAACACTTAATGGAGACATTACTAGTAATTTATCTGGTTATAAATAAAAATTTATTTTTATATAGAAAACTAATATGAAAGCAATAAATTAATGACAGTTACACTTGAAAATATATATATGACCTAAGAAGTATTTAAGAGTTTGAAGAAAAAGATACTAACATCTGTTTCTCGTTATGCCCATATCTTTATCTTGGGTTTGTTTATCTAATTGAGGTGGGTCTTAGGTGTTATATGAGTTGGATAATATTTGTATATGTATGCTTATTTCCTTTTAGTTCCCCCAGATATACCTACAAATTTGAGTTGCATTGTGAACGAGGGGAAGAACATGCTGTGTCAGTGGGACCCAGGAAGGGAGACGTTCCTGGAAACAAACTACACGTTGAAGTCCGAGTGGTAAGTCACTCCAGATATGCCCTCTGCTGGATTCTCAGATGCCGTTGCTGGGACCTTCATTTCGTCGGTAGTAATACTGGGTGACTATTTTAGGACATGGCGTCCTCTGACAGGAGACTCAATGTGCTCTTCATGTGCACCTGTCCCAGTGTCAGCAGTGAGCAGTGTGTGTCCTCTGTCTGCCCAATGCTGCCTTTAAGAGAAGCCCAGCCATGTTCCGTCCACGGATACTGCAGTGCATAGCTCTAAATGATGACTTTCAAACACAGTCACATACTGTTTGTCTTAGGCAATGTTCTCTTGCTCTGAAGAGACCCCTGACCATGGCAGCTCTTAGAAAGGAAAACATTGAATTGGGGCTGCTTACAATCAGAGGTTTAGTCCACTATCAGCACGGTGGGAAGCATGGCAGCAGGCAGACAGCCATGGTGCTGGAGAGGGAGCTGAGAGTTCTACATCCTGATCCAAAGCCACACTTACCCCAACAAGGACACACCTCTCAATAGCGCCACTCCCTAATGCCAGGCATTGGAGTGTATGAGTCTGTGGGGGCCGTTCCTGTTCAGACCACCGCTCCATGGTTCTACTCCAACAGTTTGAAATATTTTAATATCAGACTTTCAACTAGTATTAACTTTCTCATTTCTCAAAAATATTTTCTTATAAAAATATTCTTTTGAATTGAGATTTTTAAAAACAAACAAAACAAAAAACCCCCCTACCTTTTAAGTTGATAAATTCTCCTCTTTCTTAAATGACTGGTTCTACCTGCTTCTGTTTCCTTTCCATGCAGTTGAGTTACTTGTTGGATATTGTATAACATATCCTACAAATTGTTGTTAGGTCTATATATTGGTCAGATTTGTGTTGGATTTCTTTCCTCAAAAATCCCACTCCCAGGGATGGTGTGCTCTTCCACATGGTTTTCTGGTGTTGGGGGAGGGCTGTGGAGATGGCTCAGGGAAGTGTTTCCTGCACAGGCCTGAGGCTCTGAGCTCAGGTGCCTAGCACCCGCACATCAAGCCAGGTGAGTGGTCCAGCTCTGGGGGACAGCTAGAGTTAGGCTGGAGCTTACCGGCCAGGCAGCCTGAGTCACTGAGGTCCAGCGTCCGTGTGACGCTGTCTTAATAAGTACAGTGCAGTGGGATTGAGGAAGACACCGGCCATCAGCCACTGCCCTTGCATGAATACACACACACTGAGCATTGATTTCTAGTGTCGCCAGCCTTATGCAAATTAAAAATCTGTTTTTGATGCACACCAAAGCTTAGAGAATACTGGATACCTATACACACCCGTCATCTAGATTCTACAATTACATTTAACTAGATTTGCCTTATCTCCTGTATATGCATCCTCCTCCCCAGCAGTCAGTTTCTTTCTTTCTTTCTTTAAAGAATTTCAAAGTGAGTTGTAAGCATTAGTATGATTTAGTTGAACACTTCAGTGTTTACATGATTAGATCAGTATTTAAGTGCACTAAACTTTGCATATAGTGAGAGCACAGATCCGAAGTGTGTCTGTTACACGTTTTGACAAGTGTACACACCTGTAGAACTCAGATGTTCCCTGAAAAGTTTTCTCACGTTTCTCCTCAGTTAATTCTAGTCCTGACTCCAGCTTAGGAGACAGCTACTAAGATTGAACGAGCTCACTTCCTGTTGACTTTCTTTCTGTGTGTGAGCACTTGTCACTGATGACTATTTGTGAGTCATAAGATAGCACTCTATTTTATTTGTGTATTTTATTTTGTAGTTCCTGGTATCAAAACAAATGCATCCCAGGCACTCTGCCTTTGAGCTAGACCTCTAGTCTCAGAGTTACTTGAATGCTCTCCACAAAAAGATAAGGTGCATCATGAGTTCATGTTGATCTTTTTATCTTTGAAAAAGGGGACTATAGTTTTGTTTTGTTTTTTATATAATCCATCAAACAGCTACATCCTCTTTTTTTTCTGCACTGAAAACGCTAGTTCCTCGTGGGGCGGTGGTGGCACACGCCTTTAATCCCAGCACTTGGGAGGCAGAGCCAGGCGGATCTCTGTGAGTTCGAGGCCAGCCTGAGCTACCAAGTGAGTTCCAAGAAAGGCGCAAAGCTACACAGAGAAACCCTGTCTCGAAAAACCAAAAAAAAAAAAAAAAAGAAAAAGAAAACGCTAGTTCCCAACAGTACTAACATATATATGTTTGTTACCGTTTCCCACGATAAACAGGAATATAACCAAGCACAGTATTAGCACTAGTGATGATATTTCTAAAAGCAATTTTAAGGTTGATTTTCGCCACAAGTATGTATGGTCAAATCATTGTTGTAGAACATTTGAACTTAGGTCTGGAGAGACTTCTGCTCTGCCAGAGCAAGGGTTTGCTTTATCTTTTCCTTTCTTTGAAGGTTTACTGTATATGAATGTTTCAAACTGGGCCATAACTTTGTGAACAGTGTGGACTTTCTATGGTGACAGTAATCAGAAGGTGGCTCCCTGGTTTGGCTGTAAAGGTTGAAGACATTTGGGGGCTTGATAGACCCCCTTCACCTAATCTTTTGTCGCCTAGCCTGTTCTGAATAGAGAATAGAGATATTGCTGGTTTCGTAGGGATTCTGTTTCCAGAAGGAGAAAACTACAACAATCCCCTTAATCTGTTGTTTCAGTCTAAAAGTATTAAATGTACAGTTCCAGAAATAAGCAATTCCGAGCAATTGTACTCCTGTCTGCATTGATAAAATTCCCCATCTCCCGCGGTCCTCCCTTTGGTCCCACATATCCATGCTGCCTGCTTATTAGTTACTTAGCAGTCACCTTGGTTATTAGATTGGTTGCTGGTGATAACACAGTGCAGTGTTTAAACAGAAAAGACAGTTTGACCTAATAGTGGTCCCAAAGCATGGCGTTGTATATGCAAAGAGAAATGATGTAGTGGTTTTCTTTAAGTGAAAGACAGGAAGTTCTTGAGCAAGAAGAGGAAAATCACATGCTATGGTTATTTTAATCTGCAGTAAGGACAGATGTACTATTTGTGGTATTATGAAGAAGAAAAAAATATGCTATTTCACATCTCAGTTACTACCACAGTGTGCGATACTTCCTTAAAATCTGTGACTGGATGATGTGAACAGAAATCATTCTCCAGATGAGTCTGCAAGGGATCTCAAGGGGTCTCTAAGGGGAGCGACACCAAGCCACTTACTGTGAGTAAGGGATGGTTATACATATTCAGAAGTGGGTTTGGATTGAAACATACAGACCTGCAGAAGAGGCTGTCTGCAAATGAAGAAACTGCCGTTACATTTGCAGGCGCTCAGCAGAGCGTCCAGTCATTAAGATGCGGTGATGCCGTCAAACCATGAAGCATAGATTTATCTGGTACTGTGTGGTCCCAGTTCAAGGCAATGAGTAAGCCTGGTGTAGTGTACAGAGTGCAGACTACATGCCTATCTGCCTGTGCTCTGGTAGCATAATTACAATGTGGAGGCGACACACCCCTCCTGTGTGGGGTGCTTCCATCACTGCCTCATCCAAGAAGTGGAAAAACCCTTGGAAGAAGAGTTTAAGAAGATTTAGAGTCCTACAAGCAATAGATAGTGCATAGGCTGCTACCAAGGTGTCAAGTAGTATTTGCCTCTTACTACAGCCTTGGCTGGCTGGCAGAGGCCACTTGTGCCCACCTGGTATTGATTGTGTTCAACCCTCGTTTGTACATAGGCAGTGCTGTAGGTGACTTACTGTTTCTGGGATAGTAACAGTCATAGAGTTGCTGTGGGTGAATTCAAACCAGAACTACATGTAAATGCCTGCTGGTAAGTTTATAGAGTGTAGTTGTGAATGCTTTTCAAAAGTTTACAGAGAAGACAGGGAAATCGTTCACATGGTAGATAAGTTGGTAGAGAATGATTTGCTGACATGTGGAACAGCATTGAAGGCCTTTGAGAAGTACTAATGAATGAAGAATGGTCCATCTTGTTGAGTCACCTACAGAAGAAGATGAAGAGGAAACTGAAGTATAACCAGCAACGAACATATTATAGAAACAGCCTCATAGAACAAAAGTTCAAGAACTTAGGGAATCTGCAGTGTTTGAATCACACAGACACTGAAGAACAAAAGTATAGAATATAGTCCTTGGAGAAATACAACATTAAAGGCATGCTCTGATCACAGGCAGATTACTGCCTTTCTAAGCAATCCTTTCAGGCAAGCTGAACTTACAGTGTTCTTCTAGAAGCTTGCAGTGGATCACTTTATAAACAATAGATCACCAACCATAGACATAATCTGCCCCAAATGGCATCACCTGAAACAGATGGCCCTTAGTGTTCTATTGCTGGGAAGAGACACCATGACCAAGGCAACTCTCATAAAAGAAAACATTTAACTGGGGCCTTGCTTACAGTTTCAGAGCCGAGTCCATTATCATCACGGCAGGGAGCACGGTGGCTCGCAGGTAGGCTTAGTGCTGGAGAAGTAACTGAGAGTTTTACACCTGGATCCACAGGCAGCAGAGAGAGACACTGGGCCTGGCTTGGACTTTGGAAGCCTCAAAGCCCACCCCCAGTGACACACTTCCTCCAGCAAGGCCACAGCCCCTGTCTTCTCAAGTAGCACCACTTCCTAATGACTAAAACATTCAAATCTAGGAGCCTCTGGGGCCATTCTTGCTCAGACCACCACAGTCCTCTTTCGGAATTATTGTCAGGTCAGTAGTGTCCCAACATTCTCTCTCAGGACTGATATCATTCACCTCAATTCAAACCGTCTTCCATGCAGTGTGTCGTCACCTCACAGCATGACTAGAAAAGTGAGCACACTACAGATTTAGGGAGAGACTGCATTTACTTAACTGTTACATGGTAGAGCTGTTCATTACCAAGCTTAATTTAGAGATTAAATACCATCATAGTGAAGCATTGTTAGGAAAAACCATAGTGTGCCTAGGATTTGCTGTTACCCAGCATTTCAGGCATCTGCAGGGGATCCTGAAACATGTCTTTGTGGATGAGGTGGGGCTGCTATTCTAAGATCACAAGAAATAGATAATTTTTAGTGACGGGTCAATAAGGACATAGCATAAAATTCTGAAATTAAATTCTCAGATTAAAATGTGGAAATAAGACATAGATATAGATTGAGTACAATTTTAAAAATATGTGATCTGTCTTTGGTGACCAACATTTATTGCAGACTTTACTGCAGCAGTCTGGGTCATATCCAACACTTTTCCAGTAACTTTTTTTACCTTTGTATTTTTAAATTTATTTTAATGGCTGATTTCTTCCAATTTTATATTTAGGGCAACAGAAAAGTTTCCTGACTGTCTAACAAAGCATGGCACCTCGTGCATGGTGAGCTACCCTCCTATCTACTTTGTCAACATTGAAGTCTGGGTGGAAGCAGAAAATGCCCTCGGGAAGGTCTCATCAGAGGGCATCAATTTCGATCCCGTGGATAAAGGTACCTATAAGCCTGAATTTGAGACTACTCAATGGTTTGTAATTACTTTTCAGACTTCAGTTAATATAGAAATGCTTATTAGTACAGTGATTTTTGTAGTCTTTTTATAATATTATTAAGTGTAATATTATAAATAGCTGTAGTCTGGCCACACTTGTAGCCATTTTCAGTGTGCTTTTGGAATGTTTTATCATTGCTGTTTGTTTGTTTTCTGTTGTTTTGTTTGTGAGACTAGGTCTCATGTAGCCCAGGCTGGTTTTAAACTGACTGTGTATCTGAGGCTAACATTGAACTGATGCTCCAAATGTTACCTTTTGGTATTCATCCAATTTTCCAGCATCTCATACCATTGCAATCATAGTGGCTTTCTTGTTCTATTTTTATTTTCTTTTTAAAATGTGTTTTGTTAAAAAAAAAATAAGTATTTTTATACCAGCACCTGAAAATTAGTAACTATACTAAACAGATAAGGAAATTTTCCTTAGCATCTTTTCTCATTGTATAGCAGAGCATCGTTTCTAGAGAACTTTCATTTGGTAAGAATAATCTAATAAAGAAGATTATAGTTGGTTTGATTTTGTATATGAAATTATAAAACTAAAGTATAACCAACATTAGGACTTGTTTTATTCTTCAGTGAAACCCAGCCCACCACATAATTTATCAGTGACCAACTCAGAGGAATTATCCAGTATATTAAAGCTAACATGGATCAATTCGGGTTTTGGCAGTTCTTCAAGGCTGAAATCTGACATTCAATATAGGACCAAAGATGCCTCAACTTGGATCCAGGTAAATTGAAAGTTGCTGTTTATTCTAATAGTGTTCTTTTTTTTTTTTTTTTTTAAACACTAATATAAAGTCTTACCTCTTTTCTCAATGTCTGAAGTTTGTGATCATGTGAACATGTCATTTGACAGACATGCTGATAGAAACACACAGTGATCTTTAAGGATGCAGGGTCGTAGGAAGAGCACTTTTGATGGAAATGAAAGGCATTCGGATCAATACGGAGATTTTAAGGATGAAATAGAGCAGGGCTTGGCATACATAGTTCAGACCGTCTTTGCTACAGTGGGCTAAAGCCTGCCACCACTTTTATGAATGGGGTTTTACTGGGACGTGTTTGTTGTCTTTATTTGGGGGCTAGAGTGGAAGAGTTGAACAGGTGTGACGGATTTTCTGCCCACAGCCCATGATCCTTACTCTCTAGCCCTAAGAGGCTCTGCCAGCTCCTAAAGTACAGAAAAAGATGAAGGGGAATTTCAAAATGGGAAGGGAAGGGGTGGCATGCCCAGAGCTGATGCTCAGCAGAGGAAGCACTTGCCGCTGTCTCCAGGCCAGCACCTCACTGACTGCCTGGGTTAGTTTGCTGCGGCTCCACTTATTACTGATAGCCCACTTTGGCTTTAGTTGGTTGATTGGTCCATTCATTTATTTTGCTACCCTGGTTGCATTATGAAGTTAGGAGGCTATTGAGCCCCAAACCTTGGTACTACTTTCTGCTGCTCCACTTTCTTATGGGCTCGGAATACAGTTACAGATTAACAAAACAGAATCGGGATCATGACTCATACATACTGTATAGAGAGGACGTGTACCCAAAGTTCTTCAAAGTATACTTTAAGATTATAGAATCTTAATTTAGTAGTACAAAAAAGACCCCACCAAACTTAACATCTATTTTTGTATCCAGTATCAAAATCTCAGAGTGGAAGAAAAAAATAGTAATTTTGTATATTTGATCTCTCTACGCCCAAGTAAAGGCAACTTTATTTATTAGGCTAGCTTCTAGTTGTGTACACATCACAGCATATATGTGGAAGTCACAACAACCTACAGAAGGCATTTCCTCTTTTCGCCGTGTGGACCCCAGAACTCATGCTGTCGTGCTTGGTGGCAGGCGCCCTTACGGTCTGAGCCAGCCCGTCAGCCCTAGCTTTTATTTTCTTGATACGGTTGGATAATGGCTTCCTTTTCTTTGACGAGGGCACATCCTTTCTTCTCCACACGACTCCTGTCTTGGTGTGCTGGCCTGTATGATTTCACTGTGGGTTCCCTTTCCATCTACCTTCCTGTGAGTTAATGCACGGAAGGGGCTTGATGGGAAAGAAGAGAGAGAGAGTTGAGAACACATCAATTTTCCTTTTCTGTGGAGTAAGCTGTCTCTCTAAGATTGTGCCTGTCACGGCTGCCCTCTCTGACTCTTCGTTCAGACTCTTTTCCCCTTTGGACATCGAGTTGGTAACAGTATTCCTAGTGTACTAACCACTGAGATTCCAATATATATATATATATAGTCTTGCCCATATCTTTTTACTAAGCCTCCTTGAAGGGTTTTGTTGTTGTTTGTTTGTTTGTTTGTCTTTACTGTTTGGTTTGGTTTATAAAAGTTTATATTTGTACTTGGTCCTTTGTTTGCTTGGTGCGGTTCTTTGAGCCAGCAACTCGGTTAAATAGTCTGGCCTGGCCTCGAACCTGCTCCTTGCTCTGTCTTCACTAGTGCAGTCTTGCCTCATATTACAAGCACGTGTCATCTCTTTCATGTTGAGAATCCTGAGCAATGCAGGTCTCATAGAGAAAAGAAAGAAAAGGAAGAACAGATGGATGTAGATTGTCATATCTTTACCTTCATTTCTTTCTCTCCAGAGGCTGAATTTATTAATCTTATGTTAAATTGATTTCTAAAATTGTACTCAGTTTAGGAAACATTATATTTTGGGGTGTTGATGATGGTATCGATTCGCTTTATTTTCAGGTCCCTCTTGAAGATACAGAGTCTCCCCGAACTTCCTTCACCATCCAGGACCTTAAACCTTTCACAGAGTATGTGTTTAGGATCCGCTCCATAAAGGAGGACGGCAAAGGCTACTGGAGCGACTGGAGTGAGGAGTCAAGTGGAGTCACTTATGAGGACAGTGAGTAGAGAACGGGGTGGGGTCACATGAGGACAGTGAGTAGAGAACGGGGTGGGGTCA